TTTTTTTTTTTTGGAAGACAAGGAATTTCCACTTTTTGCATCACATTTAGTGTCAAATTAAACTAAAGAGATATCTCTGACAAATTGGAAAAAAAAAAAAAAAAAAAAAAGCTGCAGCAGAACATCAAAGACATTTAAGAGCCTACTATTCGCTGTGATAGTAGTGTTTTAATTTATACTCATGAAAAAACTAAGACTTAGCAACTGCAAGGCAAAAAAGAAGAGAGGGGGAGGAAGAGGGAGAATGGAAGGAGAGGAGGAGAGGTGTTATGACTGCTTCTGGTCACATTTTCACCGTCAAAGTGAAAAGGTTCAAAATTGAATTACAATGGGGGGAGAAAAAAAAACAACAAAGGAATCCTCATGAAAGTTATCACCTTTCAAGGTTTGGAAATGTAACAGAGGACAAGATGATGGATGAAAAGTAAAGAGTCGTGATTAAGACAACTTTGCACGCCACCACCCCCTCCTTCCCTCCCCTCCCGCTCCCCCGAACACACTACAAGTGTTCGGCCGTCCATTTTCGCTTAAGTGCAAATTGAAATAAATGAGAGGCAAGGAATGGAGTGAAATGAGGAAGCAGTTTCACCACCCTGAAAAACAAAACCTGCTCCGTGCAGGACTCTGGTTTTACCTTCAGCTATCTCAAAATGCTCTGTGGCTCTGCCTCTCGATTGAGCCTCTACGTTAAAACAGAATTACAGTTTAAGAGTGTTGGTCCACAGCCCAGAGAACTCCTCCTCTAAGAACAACAAATAAGACCTTACGTGGAGTCTTGCTTTTGTTGTCAAAAATCACATTTCTGAAAATGTCCTAAGAAACGAAATGACGTTAATTTGGTAAAGATTACAACTCCAAAATATCTCAGTGCTGAAAATGCGACATCCAATTGTAATTATGGTTGAGTGATGTGGAAAAAAAATGTATCATGTTGGCTCAAAGCCTTGAACCACAGTGATGCCACTTTCAGACTTTGTCACTGGCGACATCTAGTGTTTAAAAAAACAAGGCGTGTCGGAATAGAAAATACAGTAGATGACTGTAACAACACCAATTTAATGACTATCGTGTAATTCGGTATGACTGCTGTGCAGACGGGGTGGTGAGGGATGCAAAGATTGGACTGATAACACAAAAAAAGACCAAAAAAAATAAAACATAAAAGTGTGAGAGTTAAAATAACTGATAAGAGTGGTAAAGGGAGGAAACAGTACAATATGACCCAACATCATTTTGCATCCCTAAATGCAATAAAACTAAATGTTTAGAGGGATGCAAAATGGCCTCCGAAGGGCACAAAGTGAAAACGAGGATAAACACAGAGGATACAGTAAGATAAAAAGTCAGACAGGCAATATGCATCAACGACGTGAGAAACAGGACAGCAATCGGAAAAACACAGATTCACAGGAAGCTAGACGTAACAAGGACTCAGAATTCACCAGTTAATTAGGAGAAGAAACTAATATTTACTGAACGACAGTTGGTGAAATATGGCACAGAACAAAGGGTGTGGAGGCCGAGGGTTTTCGAGACATCGTTCAGTGTATCTTTGCACCTGCAGAACGGAAACGGAAGACCGTAGCCTTTCTCGGTTGAGACAAACATTTCCATTTCGGTTCTGTCGTTCATCCTCTACTTCCCTCAACGTCTGTAAATTCAGGCGACAATCATAAAAACGTGGGAATTAGGTGACAAGAAATTCCACAAGTCCTAACTGGATGTATTTACAGACCTTGTGTTAACTCCTCCCCCCTTAGTGACAGATATGTAGAGGACAGAGATGCAGAAGAAGAGGTAAGAAGAAAAAGAAAAAAAAATAAAAATAGTAAAAGCACAAACAGTAGCTGCCACACTGATGCAACCATGCTTAGCTAGAAATACATTACTGTACCACTTGCTGTATAAATATACTGCATGTTTTTTAAACTTAGAAATCCAATGCTATAGTGAAATACACCTGAATATTATGCATACCCAATATGCTCAATTGACCAGAGGGAGAGAAGAAGAGAGAAAAAAAAATTAAAAAAAAAATTTAATTGAGAAATACTGACAAAAGTAGTGGTTGGTTAAATAAATCCTAATGTAGAGTAACATTACTGCTGTCGCAAGAAAATCCAGTTTGCGTATGTATTTTTCCGTTTTACTGGCTTAAATTTACATATACAAGATCCTTACACGGTGGGAACACTTTCTGACTCCTACGCCAATAACAACCACGCGATATCGTCTAAAATACAAGAGTCATTTTAAAAATAGGGCTAAAATATAGGCGGTTTTCATCCGACAGCGGCATTATGCAATATTTTCTTGAGAATTAACCTACTAGTGTACAAACATCTGGACTAAGAATACCTCAAACACTCGACCTTATTGTTTTATTTTAATTATGATATAAATTGCTTCTTCCTCTGTCTTGCACTACAAAGCCTAGGTACCTGTTACTTAGCATTAAATTATAGTAGTATAGTCAAGTTTCTTTTTTATTTTTTTTTAAATCTTGCGTTGTGCAATATGTCCTCACAATGTTATTCAATACCCCAAATTTTGATATGTTCTACTTTTCTTAGCAGTAACTGTAATAATTATTGAATGGAGGCTGCATACAGAGCCTTGAATCCATATTTAGAGATTACAACAATAAGCTTTTTTTTTTATTTAAAAAAATCAATTCAAAACGCTGATAAAATAATCACTGTGTGTTAACTGTTGGAGGCATTCCCTCTTATTTTATTGCAATATCAAACCACTTCATCCACATACCCGCGCAGTAAATGCTTTTTGTTATACCGATCTGTACTCCACAGATCTTGAAGTTGTGATTTGAGTCTTGTTTTTTTTTTCTTTTTTTTTCTGTAAATCCTGAAAAATGCCACAGGCCTCACCTAAATATTAAATCCCACCACCACTCTCTAGCTACCACCTCACACCCCCACCCCTTTTCTTCAGTCGAGGACCAATAAACAAAGAGTCAGAATGAGTTTGCTTAATATGGATCATCATATTGTGAATTTAAATGCATTTGCATATGGAAACGTAATGCAAAAAGACATACGCACTCCTGCTATGAACAACAAACCATCACTTCTTCAAATACAACCTGCTTCGCTCTTGCAACAGAACCTAAATTCTGACTCCGATTCTGAAAATTACATCTGTTACAATGACATGGATCGGGTGTTGCACGCGTTCATCCTCGTCAGACGGCTGCAATGTACATTTTTAGAAGTGGACTAGCGTGAATGCTAGCCATTCATTAGCACATTTGTGTATTTAACTGGTCCATTATTAACTGAAAACTCAATTTTCTTGGGTTCTCATTTATGGGGTGTTTGGTTATTAGTCCTCCCCTGGAAAAAGGACGGAGGAGGAGACGATAATCACAGCGAGAGGGAAAAAAAAAAATCAATGTACAATACATACAGTGCAAAAATAGCTGTCTGTTTGTGCAGTCTCTTGCAGGTGAGATGTCACAAACTCAAATGTCTTGTACGTTGAAGCGAAATGACAGACTGTGAATATGTCATCTCCTCCTCCTTTCTTGCTGTCTGCTCTCCTCGTCCCTCCCTGCTCTGCTCTCCTCTCCTGCTGCCAACACAATCCCTTTAAACTCCTTCTCTGCTGGCTGTGTCTGCCATGCACACCCCCAGAAATCCATGTCTTGTATGCGTTTGCTTGTTTGTTTGCGTGTGTGTCGATCAGTTAACAACATAACTGGAGGTACTGTACAGTAAGTGCCACGAAGTGATCGTGTGTTTTTCAACACACCACAGGAGCCCCTGCGCGTGTGTTGTGTGTGTATGTGTGTGAGAAAGTGTGCGTGACCACCCATGCTGTCGACACAGTTAGTATAAAGATTTTTTACATTTTTTTTTCTAAATGCACTGACCTACGCTAACCACATAAAAAAGCTGACGTGACCCAAACAACCCCGAAATGTTCTCTAGCTAGGTTAAGATTCCGATAGTGTTACAACATACTAGCCTGCATAGTATGTAGCATGAAGTAGATGATGTTTTTTTTTTTTAGTGTACTAGGTACAATGTTAATGTGGACAATGTGGGACGCGCAGCACGACGGGTGATGGCGAGTTAGTGCTCATAGCACTGACGTAGCACTCACACAGAGACGTAACAACGGGGATGATGGACTGACTACTGCCGGACAGACAGCTAAGCGCTGGAAGACGACTGAGATTGAACTGAAAATTAAACAAACTGGTTAAAAAAAACGGATGAAAAGGAAGGAAGAACAAAAGTTTACAGGTGAAGTAATTCAGCTGAGTGTGATAAAAAGAAACAGTTCAAATTTTTTTTACAGCAACCCGAAAAACAAAAATCCTAATTATGTTAAAACCCTGTGCTGATATCTAGTCGTTAGAAAATTTGGCAGCATAAGTCAATAAGTCTTTGTAGTGACCGATGGAGATGATAATGAAGAATAAGTGCCCAATATTTTCCAGCCAACTGAGCAGCAGCAGGCAGGACCACACACACCAGCACAACACAGAAACAGGAGCGACCGACACCTGTGATTGGTCAAGAGTCCTTCTGGAGTTCCAATGACAGACACAGCAAAAAGAAAATGAGGAAAATCAAATAAAATAACGATACAAAATAAGGTAATGACTGGTTGGCAAATGAACAGAGAAAAAGAAATAAAAAATAAAAGCAGCTTTTGTAAAAACGTTAGAGAATGTCGCATAATAACATTAACAATAATAGTAAAGTGGCTGTTGCACTTTAGTTTTGTTCTTGCAGACAGGTGCCGAGTTCCCATGGTTACCGATGGGAGCTCGTGTAAGATTTGAGCAGTTGCATACGATGGTGGACTCCAGATCTGGTGGGAAAGAAGAGCAGAGGCACACATTGGAGATTGATTTAAGGCTGCTTTAGACCTCCGAGGAAAAGAGCGAAAAGAAATGTGAGGCGGCACAGTTTGTTCAAGTCAAGGGAGGCAACAGGGGAACAAAAAGAGGAATGAAAAGGAGAGGAGGGAGGGGGAGGAGGAAACAGATGGGAGGAGAGAGAGTCGTGGTGGGGAGGAACATGTCAGAGTGGAGGAAGCAAACACTCACATGATGGGTGGGCTCTACCAGTGAGGTGGTACGTAGCTGTACCCAGGTGTCCCTTGGGGCCTGTAGGTTGGCACAGTAACTGGGTGTGCTCCAATCGGGGGGTGCTGGGGCGTTGTCAGCAGAGTTCCTACACAAAGTTTACACCGTGAATGTAAAATCAATACACGTTTTTGCCCATCACAAGTTCCACAGTTTAAAACCCCTACTTAACACAGTAAGGATGTATCTTAGGTATGAAACAATGGCAAAAAATGAGATGTCAGAGCTGTAGTCAAACATGGCATCTCTGAAAACTGAAGATAACCTTTCAAGTTTTGAATTTGTCATCCTACCTGCACTCATGGCCATAGTTGTCCCAGCTACCATCCCCATGGCAGCCATGCCATTGTTGCGAGGAGCAGGTACAGGGACGGGGGCTGGGTAGAGGGCTGTGGAGGGGATGCTGTTAGGCTGCACCACGGTGGTGTGATGGATCACATGTGGCTGAGCCGCATACACTGGTTGGGTATAGTAGGCTCCCTGTCAGGACAGATCGTAAGGAAAGGTTCAGTGAGGCCGAGTCTGTGTGTAGGATTTATTTAGCTTATTTTACTACTTAAATGTTTCTTATATTTGAAGTCTCCGAAGAAAGAACATTTTACAGTCATCTTCTATCGCAAGATTTAAAAAAAAAAAAAAGAGAGAGAGACAGAAAGCACTCAGCAGATCAACAAGACTTTGGAGATGGGCATCTTATCTATTTGGCATTTTAAATTTCTCTTCCTTCCACTGCACCTTTTACCAAATTACAAAGGAACAAAATGATTGCTCTGTTGTTGTCTTATCAGGTGTAGCTGCACTTCAAATCAAGTGCTTTTTAACATGTTAAAACGAAAGTGCTGAAATTTACCTTTAGCTCTTGATTTTGGTTTTAATTGACACTTTGGGGGCTCCGAGGTCACAACACTGCTGACAAGCTTGATCCTCCAGGATTAATCACATGAACAAATAACACCAAGCAACCAACAACTGCTTGCACTAAACAGAAGACTGAGTGCGCCTTGCTTTTTTTAATGCGATAGATTCCTCAGCGTACAAGTCTCTTTTCATTCCTTCCCTCTTCAGGCTAAACACTGTGACAAATTCCTTATCAAAGCAGCAGCCCTGCAGCCATTAGAAATTTAATGTCATTTGAAAGACAAACTCTGCAGAACAGAAGCTATCTGACACAAAGCGACATAAATGGATGTTCGCGTTCCCCTTGTTCACCAACATTTGTTTAAAGCTGTAATCCAAGACAAAGACAATTGCACAGATGACAGACCATTTGGTGTCACATCGGTGAAATTGCTTCACCTAATTGTTTCTAATACGCGGCAAAGTGACATAGACCGACCGGCGGCACAAACGTATTTACTAATGTGACTAAATGGTGCTGGAAGCAGAGCAGGTGCAACAACAAACCTGATCAACATTTTGCGGCAGCAAACGAGTCACAAATGTCTCTCTGAGGGAATGCTGTCACTTCCGATATCCTTACCTGTGCGTATATGTTCTGCTGAGGGTAGGCACTGCGGATGGGGTACATAGCTGTCGGGTACGGGGTCGGGGTTGGGGTGTAAGGAGGGGGTGCTCCATTTGACTGAGTGGGGGGCACTTTGTATGGGGTTCCTGCTGGAGTATATCCTATAAACAAAAGAAAAGAGGAAAGAGGATTTAGAATTACACATTGGAATATGGGCTGCATGGTGGTGCAGTTGGTAGCACTGTTGCCTCGCAGCAAGAAGGTTGCCGGTTCGTGTCCCGGTGGGGGCACCGGAATCTTTCTGCGTGGAGTTTTCATGTTCTCCCCGTAGGTTCTCTCCCGGTTCTCCGGCTTCCTCCCACACAGTCAAAAAACATGTTGAGGTTAATTGGTTAATTAGGTGTGAATGTGAGTGGTTGTCTGTCTCTAAGTGTAGCCGTGTGATAGACTGGTGACCTGTCCAGTGTGTCCCCTGCCTTTGCCCTAAGTCAGCTGGGATAGACTCCAGCCCCCCCGCGACCCTAATGAGGATTAAGCGGTGTATAGATAATAGATGGATGGACACTGGAATATTTATATTTTGAGTTGATATGGGGTATTTGATGGCAAACAGTTTCAGATTTACACATTGAGTAAATACATTGCAGTATTAGCAGGTACTCTGAGCTTAAAACCCCATATCCATGCTTTTTTCCCCCCTTTAGTAGTTTTACCAAAGCACTTAAGTCTTGCCTCTAATCAGCCATCTTGAAACAGCCCCAGGTAGAAATTATGGGCTAACAAGACCAGCACTCTATTTGTCAAATAATTATACAAACTGCTGAAAAGGTTTAATAACTTTGTCCTAAAATAAGGTTAAAAAAAGAATTTTCATTCACAGGTTATACCTTTTGCACCAGTGTAACAACATAATTGTCTGAATGTTATCCAGTTCATCTGATACAAAGCAGATGATTGTCTTGTTGGTTGTGGAGACAGGACATTAGTAACACATTCACCATTTTTGACATTACAGAATTCTCCCAGATTTCTGTTCAGGATTCTTGAAGGGGCGAGTCTCTCTCCAACAATGTTCCTTGTTTTACTCTTCAGTTTCTAAAGGGGTAAATTAGCAAGTTAGCTGCAAAATGTTTAACTAAAACCAAATCATCAACTGTCATTTGATGTTGGGCAAGTAGATGTTGTGTAGTTTATTTTAAAAAGAAAACGATTACCTGCTGCCCCTTAGAACACTGCTGATGAGAGCAGAGGGAACTAAAGCCTTAGAACTGCAGATGGTAAAGCCAAAACAATGAGTGTTAAGACACTGAAACACTCTGGGGAGCTGAGGGGAACTGCAGAGTCAGGTGATAATTATCTTTGACTTTGTGACTACAAGCGACTCCTCTCATGCATAAGTAGACATGTGATCAGCAGTTACTGAAAGAGACATATTGTAGCTTCTTCAAGCTACTACAATCTGTAATGTCACTACAATCTGAAAAGACCGCTCTGAACTGATCACCGGTTGGATGTCATAATTTGACAAAAAAATTACCTCTAACTAGTTTTAGGAATAATTCTACTCTCATGTGAATGAGCCTTAAATATTATAAAGGCTGTGTGCGAGCAACTGCAACCAAATGAGCCAAGTATAGTAATGTTTAAAGGTGGTCCCCACATTTTATTATTTGCATTTCCTATATAATCCACCAGATGGGGACTAGTGCTGTCTTTTGATGAGATGTAAGTCCCAAAACTGTATTACAGTCAAGGGTCTGTGTATGTTAAAATGCCTCATTTAGCCAGTTTTACGACAGCATCTTAGCACTGTATACTGAAAAGAATACAGCCGCTGTGTAGTAGACGTAGGAGTACATGCAGTTTTTCAAGAATTTTTCTTAGTGAAGCGGTAACCTCCAACCACAGCAGGACTTAAACACACCCTGCCACATGGTATCCACCTTTAACTGACACTACGTCACAGTTTGAAAAGCCTGAGGTCGGGGACAGTGAAGGCATGCGGTTCAGACCACTGCATTCATGTCTGCTCGGCTCTCTGGGGTGCAGTACCTCCAAACAGCCACCTGGAGGAGCCTGAAGGTCAAACATGCTACTAGCTAGTTGCTGCCGTGGAGCTTATGAAAGCGCTTTTCTCACACAAGGACAAGGGAACAAAGAGATGCTGGAGCTGCTCTGTGTCTAAAAGTCTGTGTGTGTCTGTGTGTGTGTGTTCATACTCTCACACTCATTCTTTTGCTCTAACATGCATGCAGGGCATTAAAGGACAATGGTGTGTGACAATTACACAAAAGCCCTGCTGATACAAAACAGCTTGTCTTTTCAACAGTCTTGAGAAATAATGACCAAGACAGGTTTCTAATCAGACCATATCTGGCTCGTCTGGTGATTTTTTTAAAAAATTATTATTCTCATCCAGGATACAAAATCCAAACATTTTAATTTCTTCATATATTAGGCACTGTTGCGTGCGCGGAAAGAAATTTGCAGTCAAACAACAACAGCTTCAATAATGAGGTTCAGGTTTCAGTTGGAACAAAGCGGGGCGAGCTTTGCCAAAGCACACCTGATATTTTGTTAGACTTCCAAAAGATAAAACCAAACACCGGGAGGGGACGAGAGGAGGAGGCTTCAAAAGCAGCACAGATGAAACCTACAACCCCCTCCTGCCTTGGTAAGGTACTCAAAATTCAAAAGAATAGGAAGCAATTAAAGTAGCTATTTGTCCACCTGCTAAGGAAATGCAATCGCAATTAATACTTTTCAAAAGAACCACATGAACCTTTTCTAAAAAGATTTTTTTGTTCGTTTTGAAGCATTCACCAGTTCTCTAAAGGATTTCATGATATTTTTTTATTATACAAAAACATGCCAGCCTTCCTTCCTGTAACGTCTTAAAACTGCCTTTGAAGTCAACAGTGCATGTCTTCAAAGTGTCAATTAAATAAAAGCATCTTGTTGACAGTACAAAAATAACAACACTACTTTAACATTGATCATTCCGTTACGCAGCTCTATTTTCTTTCTTTTCCCTCATATTGCCGAATCACAGTCAATTATATGCTTTATTCAGTGTTAGTTGGTTTGTCTTTTGCGTATCGAAAGATGTTTATTTTACTACACTGTTGTTGAAATTGTTCATTATTGAATAAGAATCCGCTGGCTTTGTTCCTCTTTTACACACATTTATGATTTATTGTATCACCAATGATCACAAGATTCAGCATTTGATATTTGCTGGACAATAATCAGTGATTTCATGCTTTCAAATAACATAATAAATAGTAATTTGACAGCTGCTTCAGGCATATTTATAGAGTGAAAATTACATCAAATAATGCTACAAGTACATAAATAAGGGTTGAGTCCAAACTGTCGTAACCTGATGATTCTGTATATCCTTGAATCGCCATGTTCATCTACGATATTTTATGCTGTATTTACCCAATCTGAACTACATGCATCTATACAGACAGCCTATCTGGAAAGCACTTAGACAACTGTACTTCCATCTGCTGTGGGGACCAGACCCTGAACCCCAGCAGAGTACATATCTGCTGCTATATAGCCACTGGCAGCTGTTACTGGCTAGCTTCCCATTCGCTCACTATTATTGCCCTTTAGGCTGATATCACCACTTAATCCATATTGCCTTGAAAGCACTAGAGTCTGTGTGGAGCTCTAAACAACCTTCTGACTGCATGGCTGATTGCAATATTGCTTCAATTTCATCGGCAATGTTTGATTTACAACAAAACTGTAACCACACAGGACTCAGACAATTATTAAATATGTAGGAAAACAATATTTGCTTTAGGTTAAGTGTGCATAATAAACACAGAGATTCAATGTATCGCCATGCAGCGATACAGAGCAGCAGCAGTAATGGATCCTCTTGACATGAAATTAAAATTTCATCAGTGTGTAATTTATTCAACACATTAAGTGTGAGACCAGCCCTAACCTAAACACTGACTTTCATTTCACACCAACACATTACTCAACTGCTTTTCAAAGTGCAAACCGAATGATTATTCATCAGGAACATTAACACATTTCTGAAAATTATTCAAGATAAATTGGTGGCACAGTTATAGGCTGCTAAGAGCTTGTTTGGGTTTTTTCAAAAACACTCAGCTTGCAGTTTTTAAGTATCATTTCGGCATAACGGCAGCATTCGCAACCATTAAACGCGGAACTGGCATCAGCTTTGGCCTCAAATTCATAACGGAGAATTTCTTTTTAACATCCCAAGGTCTGAAAAGCAATCTCTAAAACTTTTCCTCAGAGTTTAGAAAGCATGTTGGGAACTTCCTCACTGGCAGGTTTTCCTTTTTCTATCAGTAACACGACTGTATGGGCTGGTTTGACCAGATGTTGTTTGCATTATTGTGGTCTATAGTTATTAGGCTCATGTATTGTGTTGCTTCCTGCTCAGCGGGAGTCACACATTAATGCACTCACCATTTGGAGCTACATGCACATTTTGACTTTATGCATTAATTATTTTTTTATGTTTAATCTATTGTACCATTGTATCTGCTTAACTAAAAGCAGTCAGAATAAATACACATCCTTGTAGCCTAACAGTTAGAAACATAATAATGGTTTGTCTGTAGAATCATCTGCATATACATATGTGTGATATCCTCAGTGCAAAACTTCAAAGCACCCTTGCACCATCTGCAATGTTAGTGGTGTGATTATCTCTGGGTTTTTATTCATAGAAAATGAGAAAACATCCCCCTAATTAACTCAGAAAATTAGTGTGAAGTGACAGCAACGTCTCCCAAGATATTACCTTGTTAAATAAAAACAAAGACATCAAATAGTCCATGTGTGTATATATTTTTGTGTGTGTGTGTAGGTGTGTGTGTGTGTGTGTGTGTGTGTGTGCGTTAGAGCTTACCTGGTGGATACCCAGGACTGCCTGTTTGATAAAGGTTGGGTGTATAGGTGGGAGCCGTGGCAGGATACCCTCCTGGATAGCCTGCGAGACGTCACAGACGAGAGAGAAATGATAGCTTAATGAGCAGAGAGGGCAACAGATACACACAACAACCCAACCCCCCCCACACACACACACACACCCCCACCCCCGTGTCCTAAATCCACCCACCCACTCAAACCCACACACACACACACACACACACACAGGTAGGACAGTATTTGGTTTGAAGCAGGATGTGCACAGATGGCGCTCATTAAAAAAAATGTCTGCACCAATAACACAGTCGGCTGAATGCGTCTTACATACACCAATTTGGCAGACGAGACACACCTGCCAATATGGTGTGGGAGGAGATAAATTCAGAAACATTAGCGATGCATGCAGACACGTGCCCGCACACACTCTTGTGCGTCATAAATTACGTGTCGAGCGAACAAAGCCAATTTGACCTGAGAAACCTTAGGCTGATAAAAAAGGTGCAGGTTCGACAGAGCGAGACAAAGAAGAAGAAGATGATGAAGGAGGGACGAAAAAAGCAGCAGAGTGAAGAATGTAAGAGAGCGGAGTGCTGCTCACTTCTCGCTGTTTGCTATTATTGGCAGACAGTCTCACAGATGATCTGTTCCGTAGCCTTGAGCTTTTGCTATATCTAGCTTTGGCTGCTGTAGGTTGCGCTACAGTCAGATGTAACAGGTCTCATAACTATGTGCGTCTATGCTGCACATTGACGTTCTCATCTGAGACGAGAAAAGATGCGCCTAACCCCTGTCAACACTTTGTCTTTATTATCTCCTGCCTTCCTTTGTTTAACATCCGCGTTGCTGTCTGCACAAGCTGGGTAACGCAACCTGCGCTGTGTAGAGTCTCAGCTGTAAGCGCTTTTTTATTGAAAAAGTACGATTTTTGTGACCTATGGAAACATTCTCTTGTATTGCAGAAACCTTATATTGTTACAGACAATATAAGGCAACAATCTTTCCTCTCTGAAACAGACTCAACTGATTACAGAACATCATGGACGTGGCCTTGACTCCCCTCTAGTGCCTATAATTTCCATAAAGTTTACTACTAACACATTTCTCATGTGGTATTCTAACATTTCACCACAATATGTATTAAACACTCACTTTGCAAGTAAAATGACGGTAAGTCTGTCTGCAGAAAAAGGTGTTTTCTCTCAGACTTTAGTACAGTAACAGAGACTAAACCACTTTCATTCTGAGAGCATCAAAGGGGATGTTAGCATAGCTGTCTCTTATTCATTTCTTCACTGACTTGAAAGCTCATCAGTGACACAGCCATCCCTAAAAAGATGTTTACAGCAGTGTGGAAGGTGATGAATGTGAGTGTGCGTATCGTTCTTACCTGTAAAGGCCATATTCTTGGGATTTCCATATGGGGTGCCAGGCTGAACAGGGCTGTAGACTGGATTCATAGCTGAAGATAACCTGTTCTTACTAAGAGAGACAGAGAGAAAAGAAATAGAAAGTGTGGGAGAGGGGAGACAGGGTTAGGAGAAGATAGAAGAAAAATGGAGGGGAAAAGAGACATAAGCCATGTAAATTGGAAAGAAAATTGTTACGATTATCCAGCACGCGCACGCACACACTCATCGCACACATTAATCCCAAACTCAGATTCTTAAGGCGACATCCAGCTGAAGGATTTTGCCAGCATGCAACAAAAAAATCAAGCCCCATGAATCCTCACCCTCAAGTAGGCTCAACATAAGCATGTACTTAAAAAACACAGACTGTTGGAATAAAAAAAAAAAAAAAGGGCACAAGTACTGACAGAAAAAGCACAAGTACGCATGGATCCATTGAAAAATAATGGTTTTGTTTCCTGTGTGGCATTAAATACTGTTAGCCAAATTTGCACATCTGCCTTATTTGCCGCTGCTGCACCATCAAAAGGCACGGCGAGCTCTACCAGCCGGGTTTCCGCAACAGGACTGAACACAGGAGTGGCCAATAATAAAGTAAGGTGCTGGAAATAGTCGGGAGGGGGTGATGGGGTCATTTTTACTTCATGTCCCGTAAGGCGTCTTTCTCCACAGTGCAGATGAAAATACCTCAAGTCCTTTTATTTCAACTTACCTGGTCGTTGAGAATATGGGCCTGTGAAACTGTGTACGTGTTTGTGTGAGTGTGTGTGCATGCGTGCCCCGTACCTCTTGTGCGTGTCTGGTTGATACATGAAACTGAATTTGTCTGTGGGATGCCCGCTCGCCATTCTTGCTGTATGCAAATGAGGAAGGAGTGGAAGTGGATATGCAAATCTGAAATTAAAACAGCGAGAGGTCATGATTACAATGAACACAGGAAAAGGAGAAAAAAATAAAAAATAAACAAATAAAATAAAAAAAAACACAGCAAAAAAAGCAAGCACCAGTGCAACAGCAAATGGTTAGTGATAGCAGCAGGGGAGACAGTGATCTAGATTGCGTGTCTCGGTACGTGTTTGTGATAACTACTGTGTCTTTAGCAGCCAATAAATGTATTTTTGTAACTGTGTCAAATACAACACAGTGCATGGATGAAAACTATTTAAATATTATGAGAAATAAACAGTGCATACATTCTTCTACATCATCGATTTTATGTGTATAAAGCAAGTTGCTCTATCAGTTCCTATGTCTGCATAACCTATATGGTTTTTCTAATATACGTTAAAGTGCGAGTGAAGCATGAGTATGAATTTGTATACATATGTGACGTGCTGTACAGAACAACCAATACGAGTGGCAAAGCAGACATTAATACAGCCAATGAAAAAGCACAACACACCCAGTGAGCGGGCAAGTGACAGAGAGCAAAACAACGGGACAGAGAACAAAATATCATACGAAAAGGCTGAGTTTTGCGCCAAGCCATGAGTAAGCATGATCCAGTACACACGTAAGCCAGAACCACAAGAGTGTTGCACAAACACAGAGCGGAACGGTTGAAGAATAAATAAAGAGAGCAAAGGTGCGCGTGAGCTGTGTGTTGTTTGAGTTCATGTGTGTCTTGTGTTGATTTTCGCTTTGGTTTCTCAGAGAGATGGGACCTGGTGTATGGTGGCAGCGATCAGGCCGGTTCTGACTGGTTTCAAGTGAAGTTGTGCTGTATACCATGTGCAAGACAGCGTCAAATATTTTGTAGCAAGTCCTCCAAACACAGCATGTCACCCACCCATTCACCATATGCAGACTACCAAAATACATTTCACCAATTCTGCTTCCTGCAGTCACAATTTACAACTTAAATCTGAGCCGATCCATCCCAAGCTTGTGCTTCATGGCCAGTTAACAAGTAACAAACACAAACCCCTTACACGATTATAGCTTCAGTGTCATAATTCCTGGGCATGCACTGTACCGTGGTGATGCCAAACGGCACCAAGTGACACTTCAAATTAGGCAAGGAAGCATTTCAAAGCTCAGTCCAGGAGTACTGACGTCAAAACGCCTAAAGACACTGACAAATGAATGCAAGCACAAACATGTGGGTGCAGTTGGTTTTTGAGCTGTTTTGCTTGAATTCCTTGAAACACATGTCCCTAAACATGAACAAAACCTGTGTGCGTGTTTGTATGTGTGTAAAACAACAAGAATGGTGATATGTCAGCCCTGGTTTATTACTCAAATTTTGTCTCATAGCAAAAGAACATCTCAGGGGAATTGATTAGCTGATTGCTGAACACAACTCAAAAGTACATTCCTCATTAATCTACTGCATCTTCTGTATTTTAATTCTATCCTCTAGTACTGCTCAGTCTGCTACCTTTCATTCCTCTCCACTGCTCTTCCTTGCTTAATTTATCATTAGCTTTCTCCTCCTCATTTAATCAGTGTCTACACACAAACTAACATTTTGACTGTAATCAATTTTAATGCAGAACTCTAATTATTGCAGCTGCTACATTAAAAAAAAAACCACAATCCACAATTTTCCCAAAATGTCCTTGTCCCTCATAACACAAATTTAAAAGTTGATCTGCACAAAACCTCTAACACCACAACACTTACATTATGCTGTACTTACAGACAGCTGTGCTGTCTATAACTTTCGCATGTCAAAAAAGTTAACAACAACAACAACCCTAATATTCTCTTTTTTTAGCCAGTTAGTCAGTATAATGTTTATCATGTTCAACATCTTGATTTTGTGTGGTGCTAGTAAGCTAAACATTTGCTTATTTGCACTACACACAAAGCAAAGATGATCCTAATGTGAAGTGCTTGGCCACAAACCTAAAATGTTGACCAGTAATTGTCTTAAGTGTAAAGTTACAGGTCAATGTATTCCAATTCTTCTTGCTTTTAGGACAATTCACATGATTCAAATCCACAAACGTATTCCTAAAAGGAAAAAGCTATCAGGGTGTATCCCCAGAGGGCCACAAATATCTGTAAAAAACACTGCATTCCCCCACTCTGGTGAGGAAATCATATGAGTGATAACCACCCAAGTCCTAAAATGTCCCTTTTGGTATTTTGTGGCTGTTTTAAAGTCTTTTTACAAGCTGGGCAGGCTGCTTAATCAAACAAATTTAGCAAATCAAAGTTACAAGAAGCGCTTTAATCAAAACACTACCATAATCTGGTAGTTCACAGGAACTAAGTTGTAAATGCTTTGAGTGATGGAACAAAGCTTATTAACACATAGACAGGTGGCCAAACCAGCCCTGGGGTCTTATCCTTCAAACACATACATACACACATACCCAATTGCAGCTGTGCGTGAATGGAGTAGCGAGAGCTTGAGCGTGTTCATGTGTTTTAGCGCGCCTGTGCAGAAAAAAGGTGATGAAAAGTGAATGGGTGCGAACAAGAGGGGCACCAATGTCAATGTCTAATGAGGGTATGTGTGAGAGAGAAACAGAGGATGCATGTGATGAGTAGGAGCATCCAACCTGAACTCCCTTTGTTTTCATGGGGCAGTGATGAGGTGGTCTCTACTCCTGAAAAGCTCCTTTCTAACCTTATGTTCAACAGACCGCTATTTATGATTGCAAAAGAGGACACTGACCATTCAGAGACAGAGAGAGAGGTTGAAAATTTACCCGTAGAACAGAGTGTAAAAGGAGCGAGGCGAGTCTACACATTTCCTCCATGTTCTGGAAGCGTTTACGATGCTTAAGGCACGCTTCATAGAGAGAAGAACGAAAAATGACACCATGTTGCTGGCTGCCCGAAAATGTCAGAAACACATCCACTCTGCTTACAGACAAACACTAGCAAACAGCAACTGCTGCTGGGCACTGGAGCAGAGGCTTTGGACTTTAGATGTTAATGCTTGTTGTTTTGCTACACAATTATTTCTTTTGAAGGGAAAAACTGGAGTGTTCGGGAAACACACTCACACTGGAGTCAGACAATATCAGCTTCATCACTGCAAATAATAATTTCCATTTTAATGAATTCAATTTTATATTGAATCGCTGATTAATTTCGCCAATTTAATTAAAACCGTCCCTTTTTTTTGTCCACAAAATGTGAAGAAATAGTAGATACTTTTGCCACAATCCTAATGTCTTCTTCCAAAATGTCCTACTTTCCCCAAACAAGATGTTACAGCAGAAGTAAATTCTAACAGCTGAGAAACTGGAACTGGGGAGTGCTTGGCAGTGTCGCCAGAAAACATTCCCAAGAGATAAACCCTATATTTGTTGATTACATTTGCTGTCAATCAACTAATCAATACATTGACAGGTCATTACAGCTCTAGATTTATCAATTTGTCAATAAACGTCTAAAATAAAGAAAAATGTCAGTCAAGTTACTGGAGCTCAATATCACGGCATTAGAAAATATGTTTTTAGTGATGACTTCAAACAACAAAACATTTATAATAAAAATTAACAGAAGATTAAAGTATTGCTTTTTGTTGTGATACTTCCTTATTTATTTATTTTTTTGACAACATAACGGGCATGCAAGAAACAAGTTTTATAACAGCTAGTATGTTGCATGTGCATGAAAAAGCATTCAATTTTCCAAACTGAAGCCCAGTCATTAAAGCAGCACTATAAGCTGACAGCAGAAAGCATTTACTGTGAAAGTGTTGTCGAGCTGCAGGTGCATGATGTAAATGCTGCGCTGCCTGTAGCCACTGAGGATTAACCGGTCACAGCGGTTGTTTGAAGCTACTTTTTAAATGGCTCTTCTTTTATCGGCTACATTGCACTTGATGCTTTTGCTATGTAGACACTGTGCTGCTGTCTGCTGCCCCTTTGTGTAAAAATTGATTTATCTGCCTTTTCACTCTTCTCTCCTTGATACAAACACACCTGACTGTGAAGACAGCAGGGCTTGCTGCAGTGTAACATCTCTCCATCAATCAAAGGGCTGCTTACAAGCGACTACAGACTGTGTGGACGCTGACGAAACTGCACGTGTGACACGAAGCGTTTTCACTTACCTGCTGACAGCTATTATGCTTTTTTTTTTTTTGTAGGTTGTGACAGCCAAACCGATGGCCACGTTACCACATGTTTGACTCAATTTGGGATTCCATTTTTTTTTTCTAGCTATCTGTGACATTGGAGTAATGAAAAGCATTATCAGAAAAAGTGAATTTTCTCTAAAAACTGACACTGTTACACAACAAGCCAAATAAGCCGAGCTAGTGGATGATGTGTGCATTCAGATTTGACTTATTTAGTACTCGATGTAGGTGGCTAAACACTGTCTAAATACTAAATTCAGTTTACATGTAACATTTTTGTAAGTTGTTGGGAAGCATGCTTTACTTTCCTATTTGTTATTTTCATCTCAAGTGACGAATGAAGCTACATTTATTTTAAATGTAATGTACATAAAGAAAGGCTGCAACTAACAGTTCTTTTCATTAGACTTTAATTCATTTATTAATACAGTTTCTCAATCAATTATCGTGCCTTAAGTATGTCAGTTTAATAGACAAATAAATACATGTATGGCTGAATAGGTAGAACTGTTTAGCATTTTTGCTTGAAAAATAAATGAATAAATTAAAAATGTTCCATCAATCAACAAAATAATGAATTGCTCAAGCTCTAGATATAGTGCAGAATCATTAATAGATAAGACAGTCACAGAAGTGGCATTGAAGTGCACCGAGGATGCCTTCTCTCTCCGTCTCTCAAACAAACGCACAGAGGAAGGATTCATTTACTGCTGACTGACATTATTAAGGAGACCTTACTGCTCCCTGGCTTAACCCGTGTTATTTTCCTTGACTTTGTTGAGCCTAAATTCTATTAGTGGGACTTCATTTGGGCTGACTCACAAGCTATAGCCTTGAGGCCTAAGTA